TGCCGCCTCCCCGCCTCCCGCTGGGCGACCGCGGGGCAGCCGGCTCGACCCGGCCGCCGGCACCCCCGTCCCAGGTTCTTCCCGGGGGGCCGGGCCCCAAGCCAGGGTCATCTCAGGCACCTGGTCCAGGCTGTGGGAGGAGGGTCCCTCAGCAAGGAGGTGCTGTTAGGAGGGGTCCTCTGCCCAGCATGCTGCCCACGGGCTGCCCTCAGGCGTGGGCCGCACCCAGGCCAGGAGCCCCAAAGCCCTTGGCCATGAGCACTCAGGCCCTGTGCAGCCGCCTGGGAGGAGGTAGCAGGTAGGTCGCGGCTATGGGCCATCTCCTGCACCCCGAGGACGGGAGGCCCCACGGTGAGGAATGTGGGTCGGCCCGCGGCCGCCCTGTCCTCTGAGCACAGCCTGTGTGGCTCTCAGCCCCCTGGGTGGGCTGCCAGGGTCCCAGGGCCGCAGCTACCAAGGAGTGGGGGCTGGTGGGCGCTTCCCGTGGAGGCCTGGGGTGTGGGGTTTTGGGGGTGCAGCAGGACTGGGGAGGATGCCGGCTGCAGGTCAGGATGCCCCCCCTCCTGCTCTGTGGAAAGGCTGAGGGTGTGGCTGCCATCCAGGATGGGACCCAAAACCTAAGTCTGAGGCGCCTGGCCCAGAGGCCACCGGGCCCCTGCAGCGTGCCCCTGGCTGTGCCCACAGCTCCAACAGTGCCCAGCCACCCTGCCTGAGCTTTCACCAGCCACCTCAGTGCTGCTGGGACCCACCCACTCCCCACACCCAGCAGGTGGGGCCAGGGCGAGGGCAAGGGGGCCATTGAGCTTGCTGTCTGGGTAGGTACAGCTCAGAAGCATAGGGGTGTCTCGAGAAACCTCAGGGAGCGGGGTCGTGGGAGGCGGGTGTGGCTGGGCCAGCGCTGTGCTGGCTTTGTCCAGCCTCCGGCCACAGGGACTTCATAAGAGCAACGGATGAGTTTGGCAGCTACATTGTAACATGTATTTAAAAGCATTAAAAATATCTGCTACTGTAAAACCTCCGCTGCCCCGTGGGGCTGCAGTTTATTGGGAACCACAAGTGGGTGGTGCTGGGGCCACTTGGCTGGTTGGCGGCTGGGGCCCAGGGCTGGGCTGACGGGCCTCCGTGTTCTCAGGATGCCTCCGATGGGAGGCCAACTCTTGGCCTCTGGCTGCCCAGCTCTGAGTCTGGGCACGTGCCAGAGCTGGCTCCCCGGGAAGCAGAGTCCTGGCTTCCAGGGAGGGCAGGTCGAGAAGGCGAGAACCCTTCTCGCTGGGAGTGTCGGGGGTCCTGAGGCCAAAACACACTTCCACGATTCTCCAGCTTAACACTGTCCGCCTGACCTCCCACCCGCCAGGGTGTTCTGGTTAATAAGCAGAGCAGTTGGGGGCTCCCTGTGGGGCCCCCCGTTAGTTTCCAGGTTGTGAGCACATTCACACTTAAGACGGTTTCTCTTTGTGTTTCCAGGGTCTGTCTCTGTAGTAAACTGAAATGTTAACAGGAAAGCAGCTGGGTCCTCCCGGCTCAGCCACGGCCACAGCCATGGCCACAGCGGGCAGGGCTAGAAGGTGGACTTGGAGTGTCCGAAGATGCAGATGGGGAAGTGCTTGACGTGGGAGGACCACTGGGCTGCCAGCTGGAAGAACTTCACGTCGTTCCACTCCACGCCATCAATGAGCACTGCGGGGACAAGACCACCTGACCGCCTGCCCACTGCCAGGAGAGCACACCCATCCCTTCTCAGGCCCGGGCCCAGGACAAACTGGAGGGCATCCCCCAGGGACCCCCAGATCCCGGGGGATGAGGACCTGCTGGCTGGGCCTTTCTGTGCCCACCCTCTGAGGCCACCTCCCCTGACCGAGGGGCTGCTGATCCTCACACCTTCCGTCCCAGCAGGGTCTATGGACAGGTGGAAGACACCCTCCAATTAAACCAGAGTCAGGGCAGGAAGGCAGAGTCCTCACCCCCCAACTCATCAGCTGTGATCTTGTGAACAGAGAGAACCCCGAGCTCCACTTCTGTCTCAGTGTGGAGAGAACATCTGAGACTCTGAGACACAAGCTGGTCTCTCCGAGGAGCAGAGGGGCTGGGACACGACTGCTCAGAGCTTGAAAAGCTGTCCAGGGGGCCAGGCTCGTGTGACCAGCATGTCAGCAAAACAGAGGTGTTTCTGAGCTGGACTCAAATGCCCAGCGTTGCTGTCCTGCGCCTCACGTCAGACAGAACCCTGGGCCACGAGTCGGCCAGCTCCCGGGGCCCCGTGCTCACCCCGCAGCATGTTTTGCTGGTGCTTGGCCGTGCAGATCAGCCGGCTGATGCCCTCGATGCACTGGCTTTTGGACTCCAGGTCCTTGTCCCTGGTTTTCTTGGGCAGAAACATCACTAGGAGGAAAGGGGGCCGTGCTGTCCGGTTGCTTCTTCAGGATGGGGGGGGCACACTGACCCCGGCACACCCGGGAACAGTCCCCCACCACACACTCACATGCACACACGCACTCATGCACACGCAGACCCACGCACACGCTCTCACGCGCACACACTCACCCTTTTTGTTCTTCTCCTTGGTGACCACAGTCATGGACATGGTGGGCGTGGCTGTGGCCTCACCACTGCTGGGCAGCCTGCTGACCTGGAGAGACCGGAAGGTGCACTTGAGTGTGTTTTTGGCGGTGGGCAGGTCCTTCTTTTCCGCGTCTCTCTTCCTGTCTGTGGGCGGGGCCGCCGTCCAGTAATCCACCTGCAGCCCCATCAGCTCGGCACCAACGCCCTGGCTGGGAAGCAGAGGGGGGCTCACTGTCCGTCCTGGTGGCGCCCGTGGTCCCCCCGAGGCTGATGCGGGCGGCAAGGTGCCAGCCAGTGCTGCCTGTGCCGCCGGGGGACCTGCAGCCCGCGGCGGGCTGTCCCTGTGGCCCCGGCCAAGGCCCAAGCTGCCCCTTGAGGCTGGAGGGCCAAGGTCATGGCCTCATCACAGGTGTGGCCCCCGTGGAGCTGGGCAGCCCTGGGACCTCGCAGCCCACGCGGCGAGAGGACCCCCGACCCCACCCAAGCTCTGCCTGTGTGACCTCTGCCCACAGGAGACCCGGAAGCAGCTCCTGGCCCCCACCTGCCACCCGGCACCTCCTCCCCGTGCTGCGGTTCCCAGACCACGTCTGGGCAGCATCCTGTTTGCTTCCTGGGGTCTGTCTCTGGCGATGCTGTCGGTCCCCTAAGCAACCCCCACCAGGACGGGGTGTCCTTGCCCGCGAGCCCACGCCCTCCCACGAGACCCTCAGCTTCCTGACACGAGGGGCGACCAGTGACCGAGGACTCGGACAGGAGGCAGGGCAGCGGGGACTGGGGCTGGAGCGGGGCTGCGTTTACCTGGGGGAGGACAGGCCCCCGCTCACTGACGGGGAGGAGGGGGGGGTGGGCGAGGCCTCCTTGGCAGCGGGAGACGTGGATGGGGGGGTGGACGACAGCACGCTGGAGCCCGAGGGGGCCGCGTCATCGGAGTCTCCTGTGGGGAGTGAGGGACAGCACTGAGCTCCCCAGGCAGCCCCGTGGGCCCGTGGGGGGCGGGACGGCTCACTGGGCGGAGCTGCCAGGCAGCGGGCATTCGAGGAGCCTCCCTCAGGCCTCGCAGGGGCTGGTGCTGGGCAGGGTGGGCTACCTGACGTGGCCGAGGACGGTTCCACTATTCCAACTTTCACCACCTGAAAATAAAAGGCATCACTGGCAGCAGTTTGGAGGTGCTGGGGCTAAGATGTCCCCCCACGGGAGCTACTGGGGTGGAGCTGGGGCCCAGCCCCTCCTGTCCGTGGGCAGAGCCAAGCTCAGGGCGGCCAATGCCTGGCGGTGAGCGGTGATGCCAGGGGGCGAGGGACCCTCACAGAAGCCGTTTGGGAGACTGAGTGGCAGCACGCTACGTGGCCACCCTACACTCCCAGGAGGGTCCACGGCTGCCAGTGGCCCCTGGACTGCCCTCGAGCTGTGGCCAGTGCTCAGGACGCATGTGGCCTCTGGCGGGAAGGCTGCCCTCCCCCACGGCAGAGCCTCTGGGCCTGCACGCCAGCCGGCCCTCGGTAAACAGCCTGTGCGAGTGGCCAGGCCCAGATGTCAGTGAGATCAGGACACTGGGAGAGGGAGCCCTGTCCAGCTCGGGCACAGAGGGCCCAGGGCCTGCAGAGGCGCCTGGCCCAGGCAGGCACTGCTTCGGACCCCCACCTGGGCTGACAGGGCTGCAGGACCTGTGGGATGGTGCGGGGGCTACGGAAGCTTAAAGGGAGCCAGTGACAAGTCACGCTGAGGCCCCGGGGTGGCATCTCAAGTGTCCGAGGGGCTCGTGGCGGCTGCCATCAGTGGGCAGGGGCAGGGCCTGCCCGGCACCACAGGAGGTGCCGTGGGACAGGCTGATTGGGACTAACTCCCACCAGAAAAGCCAGCAGCCGCCCTGGACGCCTGCCCAGGGAAACGGAGGCCCATCAGCCAGGCTGCCCATGGCTCTCCAAGCAGATGCCCGGGGTGGGGGGGCACACAGGGACGGACAGGCTGCAAACCCTCAGGGCAGCGGAGGCGTGGGGGAGGGAGGACTCCGGGCTCGCCGGCCACACCCCACAGCCCTGCGGCCAGGGCCTGCCCATGACACGGGGAGAGGACACGAGCTTTAAGATGGGGAAGGTTCAAAAACGGACCGGTCCTCAGCTCCAAATGATAGGAAAGGGTCTGAAAAATCAACTTAGTGCAAAATCAGACCGATACAACTTGACCTGCTGGCAGGTTCAGCTCCCCAGGCGGCGGAGGCGGCGGGACGCAGGGGTGCTTTGGGCAAGGCCGCCGCCCACACCGAGCTACTCACCCCCACGAAGGGAATAAACTTCTGCGAGGACTCCTCGTCGGGGCTGCAGGCAAGGAGACAGTCACGCTGCGGCGGGCCGGCCGTGCCCTCCACACCCGCCCCACACCCTCCTGCAGGGAGGAGGGCAGGCCTCGGGCAGCTCCCCGCCTCAGGCAGCGCAGCCTCCAGGAGGAACCTGCTCTCCATCCCCCGGGATGGCCCAGGTGCCCAGGTGCCCAGCCCAGCCTGGAGGGAGGGGCTTGCCTGTCACTGGAACCCCAGGGAACAGTCTGGCCTCTAGCAATTGGGGGCGACCGTCCTAAAGCCCCGTGAGGCTGAGGCAGGGCCCGCTCCCCAGGCCGCTGGCCCTGGTGACAAGGTGCACACGCCACATCCTAACTGTGACACCCAAGAGCAGCCGCAGGAGAGACCCAGGCTTCCGGCTGTGTGGCTGCCGTGAGCCATGGCGTGTGGTGGGCGGTGAGTAGTCTGCACAAGTCCTGGCAAAACCACGGCCTCCCAGAAACTGAGGTCCCCACCCAGGCGAAGGCCGCGGGGGTGGGGGGCACGGGCCCCTCCTGCAGCAGGCTGCCCACTGACTGGCGGCCACCTTGCCAGGGGATGCGGTCAAGGGGCTCTCAGGAGCTGGGCTTGCGGCCTCGTGGGCGGCTGGAAGAGTCTGCCCCCGCCTTTGGAAAGGTCCACAGGGCAGGGTCCGCCCAACCCTCTGTCTCCCATGGCCTCAGGAATGGCGGTGCCTTCCCGCCCTCCTCCGTGGCTGGTGGCATCTCTCTGGTCAAGGTCCAGCTTTGGGTCACTGTCCCAGCTCTGATCCTCCCGCCTCCTTTCCCCAAACCTTGGAGCCTGACACCAGAGCGCGACTCCTGCAGGGGAGCAGCCACTGTGCCCTGCCCTGGCCCGAGGGGCGTCACCCCAGAGCCTTGCAACACCCCCACCCCATGCTGCCCCTATAGAGTGCGCCCACCAGCTGGACCAGCAGGCCAGGCCCCGGGCAGCACAGTACGCAGGTGGAGCAGTGTCCAAGGCCGGTGCTGCCCGAGGGGCTGCCCTGCCCGGGCACCTGTGTGAGGGGACAGCACCCCTCCCCCCCCCCGGCATCACACGGACATGAGGACCCATGGCCTCCACCCCTGTGCCACGTCACCTTAGCAGGACACCCAGAAAATGTGTTTGGATAAAACAACCCACACATTCAGTCTGTTCCACCGAAAACACCCAAGTTCCCAGCCCTTCCCTGTTCTCTGAAGGGAACACAGTTGAAAGAGGAAAGATCCCTTTTCTCCATCCAAATAGCAAAGCCGGCCTCTGCATGCGAGGTGGACAGGCAGGTGGTCCTGGGGCTCCCTGGCCCAGCGCCCAGCAGGCTCCAGCCCACGGGCCACGTGCCCTCAGCCAGCCTGTCCCCTCAGCCTTCCCCCGAGAGGTACGCAGGGAGGCAGACGAGGGCCCCAAGGGGCCAAGATGGAAGAAACGGCACGACACAGGGATGTTGCTGGAATTCTCAAAGCCAAGCCTCAGCACGGGCCATGCAGACGACACCCAGCCTCCACATGGGCCTGGGGCACAGGGGTGACACCGGCTCACCACGGACCCCTCACCCAACCCGACACAGAGGGGACACTCGTCCTTGGGTCTTGCTCATGACGGGCACATGAGCTCCACCTTCGCTTCAAGGCTGCGATGTGGGGGCTGGGCTGGGGCACCGAGCACCCCTCACCTGGGAGCTGCCAGGCCGCACATGGCAGGTGTCTCTGACCTTGGGCTGGGAACTGGTCATCAACAGGGCTCTCCCTGCAGATGCTCTTGGCGTCTCGGGCTGGAGAGGGGCCAGGAGGAGATGGCCAGGAGAGCTGTGCTCTCTCCTGGGTCTCCTGGGTGGACAGAAGGGTGTCCTCTGTCCCAGCAGGCAAGGGCTGACCCCTGACCTCCAAGCCCTGGATTCTGAGGGTGGCCAACATGCGGGACCCTCAAGGGCTCCATCCAGGGCATTTGGAGCCCCCACCCCACCCCTAAGCACCAGTGTCACCCCTGTAACGCGGAAGTGGGGTGGCAGGCATGGGAGCAGGGAGGGCCGGGGTCCCCCAAAGCCCTGGTTTGCTGCTCAGACCAGTCACCTGGGGGAGAGATGAGAGGCCGGGCCCAGGCAGCGGGGCATGCTGTGGAGTCCCCACGCTACGGCGAACAGGGAGCAGCTGCCATGGCCACAGAACACTGGGGGTGGGTCAGCAGGGTACCACGGCTGGTCTTTCTAGAGCCCCTAGGCTTGTTTAGCAGGACAGGCTGAGACCCTCCTCCTGGAGGCCACCCAGGACCCAATGACCCTGCCCTGGGGGGCTTTCCCAGGAGAGCACATGCCCCAGGACCAAGGGCAGAAGGCACCCCAAAGGAGGGACCAGAGGGCCTGTGAGAAAGGCAGCCTGCGGGTGCTCAGGGCTGCGTCCTCAACAGACAGGTTTCGAGAGGGTGGAGCCACCTTGGGGGTGAAGAGCCCTTTACCAGAAGTGGGGAGCTCCCAGCAGCCTGGCCACAGAACTTCACTGGAAAACCCTCCGCTCAGGGGCGCTGACCACTGTGTCACCGGCAAGTCCCGCCCTCGCTCACCTCCCATCTCCACGTGTCAGGTTGACATGAATCCTGTCTTCCCCTGGGAACCCGGCTCCCGACCCCCCAGTGCTGGGAGCAAAGCCCACACGTGGCGAGGGGTCCGTGGTCAGGGTCAGTGGCTCGAGCTATGGTCAGGGCCATGCTCCTGAGTTAAGCAGCAGCACTAGACGTGGCTTCAGAAACATACGCACTGAGAGTCCGGACTGGCCACGTCTTAAACCAAATCTCTGGACTAAGGCCGACAAGGAGACCGGCCGGCCGCAGGCTGCAGGGCCCGGATCCACAAATGGGTGGGCGGCCGAGCAAGGGTCATATGCTCCTCCCCCCGGGTGGGAGGCCGGCAGCAGGGGGAGTGAGCCTGGGGTGCCGGCACTCCAGGAGGCACCCCAGTCGCCAACACTGCTAAACAGCCCTAAAGACCAGCCTGGACAGGGGGCAGGCCCAACAGCAGTACCTGAGAGTAAAGTCAAAGTGGAAGTTCTTTTTCCTTCCAGAAAGCCGCCAGGAGAGAAAACACGACATGTTACCGAGCACTCGGCAGCCCAGCTCGGTGGCAGAGGTTCCCGCTCAGGGCCGGGAGCCGAGGGCTGGACAGGCTGTGGCCCCTCGAAGCCACTAAGCCGCCAAGCCAACCCCGATCTCCTGCTGCAGGGCAGCCAGCTCCGGCCCTCCCACAGGCTCAAAGAGCTTTACTCTGATTGGGGGCAGAGCCAGCCCCGTAAGCTCACCTTCCTGACAAGCCCTGGTCCCCCCGGGACTCCCCAGAGGACCTGCCGTGTCCGAGGCCTGGCCCAGGGAGCCACCTAGTCTCCTAAACCACCTGGACTCTGGCCTGTGTGCCAGGCTCCCCCACCCAGGCCAGGCAGTGGACCCTGCTCGACGGCAGCCCTGGCCCCGGCTCCACTCCTGACCACCGACTGTCCTGCTCTGGGCAGGGAGAGAGCGAGTCTCCCGGCCTGGGACGCCCTGGCTGCTGGAGCAGGTGCTGGACTCAAAAGAGCAGGTCACTGCTGGGCACAGTGACAGCTGCTCTTTTAACTTTTATTATGAGAAATTATAACACACACAGAAATGGAAACACCGCCAGCACATTCCAGTTCCCCGCTGGGGTCAGTGAAGGGTCCTGCCGGCGAGGACAAGATGGCCTTACCACAGTCCAGGTCAGGCCCACCCCACGGCCCGCTGGGTCTGTCCCCGAGGGCCATCACTCAGGGCCAGTGATGGGTCACCCGAGGAGCCAGGACGCCTGGGTCTGCAGCGTGGGTTGGGCACCCGCTGGCCTGCCCTCGCCCCCCCAGGCCGGGCCCTCCAGGTACCTCTTCTGCTTGTAGGTGAGCATGGCCTCGGCGATGGGCAGCTGGTGGGCGCAGTTGGCCCCCGCGATGTACTGAGTGATCCTTGACACGATGTCCAGCGTGTCCTGCACTGCACGAGGCGGCCACACAGGGTTGTGAGAGGTCATGAGGGGCCACGATGGGCCCCACTCAACCTCCGCTTTCTGAGGCCACCCAGCGCCCTGGGACCCAGAGGCAGCCGCCATCCTCACCGGGTCCTTGCTGCTCTGGCCAATCCCGAAGAGCCAACCCCCAGGGCCCCTGGCCATGCCTCTCCCAGCCCAGCCCCCAGTCAGCAGGCTCAGGCTCATGGGGGTAGAGGAAAGGGTCCTGGCCGGGGCCTCGTCTGTGGACACCCCGCCCAGGTGTGGCCAGGGCCTGAGAGACATGGGCACGGGGGCCTTGTCCTGGGAGATGACGGACCCTTCTCCTAACGGGCGTGTGTGTGCGTGTGTGGTGTGGACGCCCGGCCTCACCGGCGCTCTGGGCCTCCAGCTTGTTGAACAGGTCCCGCCAGGCCAGGTCCTGGAAGAAGTTGTTGTAGCGGTAATCCACGGAGCCCAGGTACCTGGCCACGGGGTGGGAACCTGCGGGCGGGACAGCGTCAGGGGGTGGGACCCGCCTGCAGCTCTGCACCTGCCTGGCTGTGCTGGGCGGCTGGGGCAGGCGCCCCCCAGGGCCCCTAACTTCCCAGCGACAGGCACGGTCAGCGTTCACCAGAAGGTGAGCAGGCTCAAGCCACGGGTTTGCTGACTGAGGGCCAGTGGCTGACCCTGGGCTGCGTTTCTGCGACAGGAACAAATCTAGCTGCAAGTCCTCCCGGAGGGACCCAGGGCTCACCCAGCGGGATGACCAGGAAGCGCATGTAGCCCAGCCAGTCGGGCGTCTTGTGGGACAGCTGCTCCACGAAGAGCCGTAGCACCGCGCTGAGGTAGTGCTGCGCCCCGGCCACCGCGATCTTCACGGGCGTCGGGGGCTGGGAGTTGCAGTTGCAGCTGGGTCGCGGGCAGGACAGAGGGACAGATGCCTCAGGGACCCATGCTCACAGGAGGACCGTCCCCACTGCCCGTGGCCCTGCTGCAGCCGCACGCCCCGGGCCCCAGGGAGCCCTACGGAGGCCACTTCCCGCCAGGCAGCCCGCCCCAGGGTGCGGCCGGGAAGGCTGGGAGCAGGGACCCCCACAGCGGAGCGGGGGGGACTCACTATCTCTGTATCCGCGAGACAATGGTGCTGAAGGCGGCCTGGACGTCGGCGGCGGAGCAGGTGCACACCACGGGCAGCGAGTGCCGCTGCAGGACGTCCGACAGGAACTAGGGGCAAGGGCGACCGTGGGCCTCGGGCGTGGTCCCCCCGCCCCCCCAGGGAGCACGCCGGCCCCACCTGCCCCTGCCAGTCGGAGGTGTTGACAAGGATGATGCTCTCGGGCAGCCGATCGTCGGAGACGAGAATGTGGTTCAGCTGGTCGTACACGGTCTTCCTGGGGATCTGCAGACACAGCCCGTCCACACCGGGCGGGGCCCCCGCCATGA